TCTAAAATAAGAGAGTTTGCATTTGCCTTTGGTGTTCAGATAAAAGAAATGAAAAAGAAAAAGATGGATGTTAATAGAGGTTATCTTAAATTAAACCTTTTCTTCTTCAATCATAATTTTGTCTATTATATTCTAAATTAGGACAAAAGCAGAGACCAAACTAATTTATGAAATGCTATGACTTTAAATAGTTTATGTTCAATAAATTAACACGAAGAAGCATAAGCTCTGGGAACTAACTAAAATCTATCATCATTGATATAAAAAATTTCTACCTTCAAATTTTCAGGCGTAATTGCTAAATAATTGCCACTCATTGATCTCTGGGAGGGAACTGATCCCCATCAGAAGACTAATTCCCCAGTCAGTGCTAGGTCAGGATCACTGCCTTAATCAGGCCTGATTTAGAAAAGCAATAGCATGTCAATCTACCAAAAAGCAGTGGTAAGAGGTTTTCAAAATCCAACTTAAGAAACATTGCAAGGTTAGGGGACAGTCTTTGCTCCCTGGCAGAGTAGCCAATGAAGGACTTTCTGTCTTAGCAATTTTGAAGGGTACGGGATTAAGCTTGAGTGTGGGAAGGAAGAACCAGACTGAGCAGTAACAACTCACCATGCTCAGTCTGTCCTCTCTGAATGAGGCTTCCAGGGTACTTTATTTTCAAATCAGATTCAATCAGCCAAGTAGAGAAACACAGGAATAAAACCAAATAATTAAGCTAAAACATATGATTTGGATTTAATTATCTCTGTATTTTAGGCAAAAATATAATTTAATTTAAAAAGTAGTAACATTTGAAAAGTTGTCTCATGTAAACTCACATTGCCAGTGCAGATATATCTTCAAAACCGATGTTCTCTAAGAGTATAAAGAAAACATAAATATGTAGTAACTGAGATGTGTTTCCACAGTGTATTTTCTAATTTTAAAAATTAAAATGCTTTAAAATTTCACTTGGAACGATAGAAAATGAAGGACATGGAATTTTAAAAGCAACTCGTGCATCATGATTTTAAAAAATCAGAAACTTTCAATTGTGTCACTATAAATTGTTCTCATGCCCAAATATATGGTTACTCTTTGGTTCTTTAGTACTTTTTATTAGTATATTCTCTGGATTATTTACATAAATTTCTTTTTTAACTCAAATGTTACATAATAGACTTTCTTGATTTTTAGGTTTGTTTTTCCTTTATGTATAAAATTTGTAAAGATATTCATTCATTTTTTTCATTTATTCAACAGATGTTACTGCATGCCTATTTGGAGTCAAACAGGCTGCTAAATACTGCTTGTGTAATGGCGAGATAAAATAGGAACTGTTTGTGGACTTATGCAGTTAAAGGTCAATCGGAGAGAGAGAGATTAGCACACAAAAATCACCACACAGATGAATGAACATTTACAAATTAAAGTACCTGCTGTAAAGGAAAACCATATGGGATTTAATGAAGATATGAAAAAAAGGGTTCATCATAACGATTTGGTTATAAATTCTGAGGAAAACATTCATTTCTTAGTGTCAAGCACAGGGACACTTATCCCTAGTTTGTATAAATGAAGATCCTAAGAAAAATAGGAACTTATTCCAAAAGTTGGAATGCATTGCAGGCAAGATCTGCATAGTAAAGAAATAGTGTTCCCTGCCCTCTCTGCCACACACACAAAATTATACTGTCTGTATTGAGTAGGAAGAAAAGGTCAAAAATCATCTGAAAAAAGAAAATTTGACCACTGTGCTAAAAAATTGTTGCCTTCTATCTAGTAGTCACATTGCTTCTAAAAGGATCAGGATTCAGTTCAGGTTAGTTTTTATTTGTTTTGTTTCTGTTTTTAACCCAAGTGAGTAGAAAATAGTTTACAATACAGCTCTTATAGAGAGCTCTTAATTTAAATGGGGGCCTGTGAGCATTGAATACATGATTATTTTCAGATGTTTCCAGTTTTTGATTAAGGGGTTGTGCAGTGCTGTCTTCGTTCTGTTCCAGGAGATTATGTGGTCATGTCTGTCTACTTCGACCTGAGCAGAAGAATGGGCTACTTCACCATTCAGACCTACATCCCCTGCACACTCATCGTCGTCCTATCCTGGGTGTCTTTCTGGATCAATAAGGATGCCGTTCCAGCCAGAACATCTTTAGGTGAGACATACTTCTCTGTGTTGTAAC